TCAGCTGGGAGATGACTGTCGCGACAACAGCCACGAGAACAGCTCTAAAGATAGTGGAAATAGTCGCGATCAAGGAATTGAGGTTGATGGAAAAAGACCAGTCGTCTGTGGGCTTCCCGTTCTGGCGCGCGAAAATCCACACCACGGCACCTAGCAAGGCTACCGAAAAGCTTAATGAGACAAGCTCTAGGGCCCAGGACTTGAATATGACATGGAGTATACTTTGGTGTTCCACGAGACTTATGTTGCCGTTATTTGTTCCTAGACCGATGTGAGTGTTGGACTCTTTCTGTGAGCCTTCTTCCACAGAGGTGGAGCCAGATGCATCGCTCGGCCGTCGCTGACCGTTGACCACGTTATGTGAGGGTTTGGCAAACAACATATTGGAATACGGAATGCCCGAGGACAAAAGTGAAAAGCGCAAGGCGTCGTCTCAGGCAACGGGGGGAACCGGTCATCTTATGCAGGAATGACAACACATCCGTCATCTTGCGACGTCAAATGCTGAGGAACCTTGGCTGCCAATCAAAAGAAGCCATCGAGAAAAGCTGACGCCTTCGGAAGCCACAAGTACAACGGTCGTGTATTTTACCACGAATTTGTGATTGGTCGTTTGGGAGCGCGTTTCTGCAGCTCAAGAATGAAGAGGTCTAATCTTGATGGTTTTGATTTGCCGAAGGGTATCAGGCAATACCACATGCATTCGGCTGTACTTTCAAGATGATGGGCTTACTGAGACACTCGTATTGATTGGTCCGGTGTCATTAAGCCATGGTAATAGCTGCTTGTTGTTCCGCACTTTACATTCTCGCGCCGAGCCTGCTTCTTCATACTCAGAGAGAAGAGATATTTGCCGCTGCGAGTGCGTTCATTTCGTGAATGATAGGTTTCGTGGGTGGTCGCCATACCAGACTGACAGGAGGTTGACATCCAATACTTACCTTACAAGCAAACTATAGCAAAAACTCGTTTATAATTGTGTGATTCGAGGGGAACGACTAAATGGTTCACGTTGTTTAAGAGCAGATGCATGCACATAAGAACGAGAGCTAGTTGATTCATATTGTGTGAGGTACCCACAGGTTCCAATCCTCAACTGTAATGAAATCTTCCTTGCAGGTCATCTAACAGATTTTTGAAATATAGAATTATGATATATTTTGTTACTGAGAGGTTAATGACCAAGGTACTTGAAGTCTCGTTTGGTCGCGTTTGAAGAGTTATCTGCGTCCCACAGAGCCGAGATATTTGCTGCGATGAGTGCATTCATATCATGGATAATAGGCTTCACAGGTGGCTGCCATCCCAGACTAAGAGGAAGTCTCTCGTTCTCAACCCAGTAGCGCACAAGCGTCTTGTTCGCATCACCATAATTCCCAAAGGCCGACAGCAAGAGCGCGTACTGCAGAAGCGAACCGCTTCTCGCAAACGTGGCGTTGAACTCGGGGTTGAACTTCTCTCCCCACTCGAATCGAGCCTTGATTTCCCGGGCAGCAGCGGCGAACTGTTATTATTCGTTAGCTGAAACTTCCATGAAAGCATTACAAATGGCTGTTACTGACATCGATAATGTCAACGTCACCCCATCCAGCCAATGTGCGACCCCAAGCAGCAGGGCTGAAGTGAAGAGAGTCTCCAAAGTAGGCGTCGTCGCGCGTCAGGCTACCGTCGTGCTCGATGACTTGAGGCATGTGTTGGTTGACGTCGCTGAGGTGGAACGTTGACGCATTTCCCGTGGTCGAAGTCTTCAACGCAGGAATGCCGACAAGAAGCATCGTCTCGTGGTCCATATTAAATCCGAGTGCAGTGGCCGCTCCGAGCACATCCAGGTCGATATCGCGACCATCTCGAGGTAAGAGTCCGTGGTTGGCTAGGGCGTTGATTCCAGGGCAAGGTGATCGCAAGTCGCCCGGTTGAGGAGGCTGCCAAGGATACAGGTCCTCGGTCAAGGTGCCCAGGACACCGACCGAGGCCATGCAGGCTTGGAGGAACATCAACCGAGACCCCAGCATATTGAAGGAAAATGAGCGACAATGATTAGACTACAAGTAAACTTTCACGCTGGGACTTCTCCCTTCATGTAGTATTTGTACCTAAATCTCTAGCCAAGCCTACCAGGGTCGGAAGTACCGTTGCACCTAAGATCATATCGACGATTAGCCGGTGGGAGAGTTTTCTAGCTGATTAACATCAATTAATGTCGACGTTATTGAGTCAAGAAGGCGGCGAATACGGGACAGGGGCAAGACTGGCAAATGAAAATGTCGCCATTACTAGACCATTGCAAGTAATGGCTCCGGCTGATGACATGCATCCTAGGTGCCGGGAGCGGCCGCTACTCGGACCGCTGTAGGTGTGATTACATCATTTAATAAGATTTGCGTCTTACGAGTTACGGCTTTGAGATGTTGCGTCAACAGGGTTGCATCTGGATGCCGAAAGGGGGAAACGTTTCCTTCTACCGGCGCATAGGCGGATCGCCTTGCGCGCGGCAGTGATCTCCTGCCTAACTGAGTCAGGGCGGTGGGGTTCTTTACAGGGCGGTCAACCATGTCACCCTGTCTCTCTCCCACGATCCTGGCATTCGGGCTGGGAATCCCCGAGTTTGTCTTACGATTAGGCTGCGAGATGGAATCTGACATGGACAAATGATCTTGGTTCAGGAGTCCTTCGTAATTGACGCATGTAGATGTTGGCTTCTGGCATTAGTTACAATAGCATGCGATGATTCTCTGGAGAGCACCATTGGATAAAGATGGGTCCATTTGTCAGAACTAAACAAAACGCCAGGTTTGGAGGAATCCGTGACCGTGAATGGGAAGTTTCGCCTGTTTCTACGGAATCCCAGGTACGTTGTCAGGTCATGTTCTCTTGGAATTCATATTAACCGCAGAACAGGTAGCATCTTTGAGGTGCCCGGCAAACTGCATCCGGCTTATCTACTACAACCAGGCTATATAGCCACCGTCGAACTATCAAATCCCCTCAGTACTTTGGCCCACGTGAAGGTCGAACATCTCAAGACTTGCTCAGCATCTGGCCCAGCGAACGATGACGTTCCAATTGTCCTTGTGGAAAGCCTGGCCAGCGACTCTGGTGCTCTCGCCAACACGGCACTTCTTGATGACATAGAGCACGCCATCGGAGATCTCACGGAAAGAGTTGAGCTCTTTGGCCTTAGTGTCCTGGTGCCACTTATCAGCTAGGTCGCTTGGCAAAAGATTGAAGCCAAGGTCACTTACATCGTTGCACCACCAAATGGCTGAGTTGTAACTGCAAGAGACACGTCCGCTTCGTGGTTCCAATGTCAGCGATTTCATATCAGAATGGCCAGTGTGGTAGGAGCTTACCAGCTGGCAGGGCCAGCACCCCTGTGAGGCTTTCCATCGACACCGTCAAGATGGGAGATTCCCTCGCGAATGCGGGCGGTGTTCGCAAGTTCCCAGCCGTCACATACAGTTGCGGCTCCCTCAAAGTCGGCCTTGGGACCCACAATGTCGGTCAGCCCAGACTCGGTGACGTTTCCAATGCCGAAGTCCTCGTCATAGTTGGGGTTGATTTTGCGAAGCTCATCCAAGACCTGCTCCACGGTCCCGCTAATGATTTGAGTCTCTCCTCCGGGGAAGGCCTGGACCTCCCACTCAGGAACATAGACACTGTAGCCTGTGATCGGGGCCTGAGAGGCGGTGCTACCGATGGTGGCAGCCTGTGGTTACAAATTTAGTGGCCAGTCAAATGAATCTCTGGAACGAAGTGATGTTCTCACCTTAGCCGCAAGAGAGGCAAGAGGAAGAAGGGCGATAGCCTTGATAAGCATTGTGAAGGATAGAATCGAGATGGTCTCTAGGTGTGATGTGAGCAATCTTCGTAATCTGCGTGAAAAGAAGAGAAGAATCTGCAGATCATTTCAAGAAAATAAATACTCCTTGCGGTGAACCTCGTGAGTCAGTACCGATGAGCTGTGGTGACTTGTGGTATTCATTCACCGGGCGCGCTCTTGTGTTGTGGTGATTCACTCGACCCCAAATGTTGCATTACCAACAGGAAAAGCCACGCCCTTCAGGCCTCGGGATTGTTTCGTCTGGTCGCTGGCGCTTTCAATCGAAGTATTGAATGAAAAGAACCACACATTGAGCCAGTGAATCAATCACATCGAACTTTTTTACTGTCAACATATTCCGTGCCGACCTTCGTAACGTGACGTTATTCGACGTGGACTCAAGCCTCAAACATTGGCACATAGTTCTTCTTTGTTTCTCCTGGCAGAATCCTAGGATATGTCTGTATCACGTTACATAAAGAAATACTTGAAGATATGGCGATAAACTTCTTCAGCCCAAGCTCGAACGATAAGTCATAACACGGTCCACGTCTACGGTGCTCTACCTTCCAGACTAATGAGAGGGGTCGCACCATAGCACCCTGTACAGGAATTCATTGACTTCAAAAGCTTTGCCATTGTTCCTCCTCATCAGGTCCAGGCGAGTGCCAGAGACAAGTGCGACCCCCGCCTCATCACTCATCACTGAGGAATGTTGTCACGTAGACTCAATCACCAAAATGGCACCACCAAGCCAAATGTCTTCCTCGCAGCTGTAGCTCTTGTTCGCTTCGGACATTGCATCGGCGATGGCGGGGGCGGGGCCGGCGGGCGTAAATGGGGCCGCTAACGACTTCCCGACTCTACATGCCGGGGGTGTTTCGGGGAATTCGGTGGTTGGACGGACGTCTCAAGTCGCGACCATAGCGAGAAATAGTTAATCGTATTACCCCGCAACACCCTCCAAATCAACTACTCCATACCTCATGGGGAACAACCTACCTCGGATAGTCCGGGTAATCCTACTGCGATCGGCCAGTAAGGAGATGCCTATTGGGAATTCGGGCCCTTGGGACACCGAACAGCCACATTTAAAATAAGACTTCGCTTGTTTAGTTCTTGAAGAAGTCTGTCATCTCTGAAGCCTCGATAGCTGCGTCGTTCATCAACTGTGCTCAACATGAATGACATCGCGGACCAAACGAGCTCGTTCTCGCTATTGGGGGCTCTCAAATTTGCACCAGTCATCTTCCTTGCTTTGTGGGTTGTCTATCAACGTTACTTCTCATCGTTTGCTGGCATCCCGGGGCCATACTGGGCCAGCCTCTCGCGAGGATGGCTTGCGTACCACTCATACAAAGGAGACCTCCATGTGATCATGATGCGTCTCCATGAAATCCATGGTAAGGTGGTTCGGATTGCCCCCAGTGAAGTGTAAGTGAGCAAGAAGCATGCACTTACCCAAGAAAGGCCGCTGATAGACATAAAATGTAGGAGCATCTCGGATCTCACATCAATCAAGACAATTTACGGCAAGTCGTTCTGATCTGGGCGGGGTACGATGACGCTAACCGGCGTAGGAGCTGGATCAAAATTTCGAAAGTCCGACTGGTACAGTGTCTGGCAAGGACGACGCAAATTCGACCTGTTTCCTGAACGCGACGATGCAATCCATGCTGCCCAAAGACGGCTGGTCAGCAGACCATATGCTATGTCCACTTTGAAGGAGCTGGAGCCATACGTGGATAGCGCCATCCATGTTCTATTCGATAAGCTTAACGAGATGGTGGGACAAACTGTGGATATGGGCAATTGGGTTCAGCTCTATGCCTTTGGTAAGCGCAAAGCCAAGAACGCCTGATTGAATAAGCATCGCATTTGTCCCTGTGACTTTTGGTTGACATATTCTAGATGTAATTGGCGAGGTCACATTCTCTAAGCGTTTCGGCTTTATGGACGTTGGTTCAGACGACGGCTCTTTTAAGCAGATTGAGAATGCCTTGCAGTCGGCTGCTTGGATAGGCCAGGTTCCTTGGCTCTACTGGCTTCATGATTACTTATCCCCTGTCATCGGTACATGGCTCGGTATCGCCTCTCGACACGGCAGTTTAAGGAAGTTCGCAGCACGCGAGGTGGCTGCTAGGCAGGACCGTGGATCCGACCACCAGGATATCCTTGGGAAGCTCCTTGCCGTGCACCATGACAAGCCTGATCAATTTGACAACTCGGATCTGGTCTCCATGGCGACGTCGAACATCTTCGCCGGCAGCGATACGACAGCCATTTCCATCCGTGCAATCATCTACTACATGCTGAAGTATCCCGAGGCCAAGAGGAAGCTCGTTGAAGAGGTCGATACCCTCTGGCAACAAGGAAAGCTCAGTGACCCCGTTACCGTCGCTGAGTCTGAGAAAATGCCGTATCTCCAAGCTGCCATGTACGAGGCTTTGAGGTTGCATCCGGCTGTTGGCATGACCCTGCCGCGTGTTGTTCCCAAAGGTGGATACGAGATTGATGGACGTTTTATGCCGGCTGGGGTAAGTTCTTTGTCGGCCTTAATTTGAGTTGAAAGTCGTTTGCTGACCATGATCGTGTAGTCCGTTGTAGGAGTTAACCCGTGGGTTGTCCATCGCAACACAACAGTCTACGGCCAAGACGTACATTGTTTCAGACCTGAGCGGTGGCTGAAAGAGGATAATGGAGACCTGCGTAAGCTACGTGGTACCAATACCTCCTTCGCTCGCTGACATTGCCGTATCAGACCGCTTTTTCTTCGCATTCGGTTCCGGGGCGCGAATGTGCATAGGCAGAAGTAGGTCATCAGCGGAAACTTCCTTTTCAGTCGATTGCTGACTCTCAACAATAGACATCAGTTGGATGGAGATGGCAAAGGCAAGATTATCCGCCCCAGCCCAAACTTTTCGAAGCGTTCATTGACCAATCTTATGCTGACCATATGGCAGCTCATCCCCACTCTACTTCTTCATTTTGACATTGAATTGGTAGACCCCAATGCCTTGCTGGAGGAAAAGTGCCAGTAAGTTTTCGATGTACCATCGGTCACCTTGGAAAATGTCTAATATTATCTTGAAGCTGGTTCGTCTCGCAGAAAGGTCTCAACGTCAGGCTTCGCAGGAGACCATCCCCGTCCGCGGTGTGAGATAAGGTTGGCTTGAGCTGACCGCCAAGAGCCTAGCCCTTTCTTTCTCTCAGTTTGACATGAACGCCTTCCACAGAGTTCGGCGCCAACTCAGGATGTGTCCCCGGCTAAACAAATAAGAATGAACGAAAATTTCTGCACCATGGTGGTTAAGTTGTCTTCGTGGTGGTTGGCTCGCGCACATGCCTATCGACTTGCTCGCTACTGGAAACCATATTCTTCCAGCTTCCCTTCCAGTCCTTTACTCCAAACTGAGGCCGTGAACGTCTTCCCTTCTACGACTCCAACCACATCTCGTTCTCCTCTGTCCTCGAATCCCATTCGTTGAAACATTTTCTTCGCTTTGTCGTTCTCTGGGTCAGTGAGGCCAAGAAAGCCCTTCTGCCCCTTCTCCTCTTCGAAGTACTTCATCAGTCTTTGAGCAGCCTCCGTGGCATACCCTTTGCCTTGGTATCTGTCAAGGAACGAAAATCCAAGATCTGGTGCGGTCGGACCACCTCCAGGATATCTAGCCAGCTGCATCGTGACGCAGCCGATCGGCTCGAGAGGGCGCTGTGAGAAAGGAATAGTTGAATTATCCTCGTCAACGGCCTCAGGCTTGAGCGAAACCAGATACCTTCCCCAGCCCAGCTTTTCCAACCGCTCGAGGCGGGGTAAGATGTGTAGCTTCGCAATTGCCTCTCGTTTTGGCATGGTTCTTGACAGCTCGTCAAGCTTGGCACTCCCTCGGTCGCTCATGTACTCGATGACGAAGTCGCAGTGGATGTCATTAGAAGGATTGACGTGGGAGATGTACAGGCGCGGGGTTCTTAGGTGCCAATCGTAGTCAAGCATTTTGTTGGTCGTTTTCGGACAGGATGAACTATGCTGCAAAGCGGTCCGGGGGGGGGTTCATGGGATTACAAAGTTAAATGTGGTCACTTCGGTGCGATGAACTGGAAACAGCACGAATAACATGTGCGACAACGTGATGTGTCTTTATTGCACCACAGATGGATCAAATGTTCCACAGAGCCACATTTGGAAGGTGGCTGCAGGCAGGTAACGTGTGTACGTCAATGGGACTTTTGTATTTCATCCGCCAGGAAGGTCTCCACCGTTTTTTGTCAATCTTATTCCCGCTTCTTTGATGATCTGCCCTGGAAGTGAAGCGGTCATCATTTGGGTGTTACAAAACCCGAAACCCCTGAACAGAGCGCGAGTTGACTCAAGAAATTCTCATTAACAGTATCAGTGCATATATACGTAGTCACAGTCATTCGCACGTTTTTCCGGCTTCACCTCTTCAGCGCATCCTAATGAGGTGATCTCAACATATTCCAATACCCGATAGTGAAAGTTGGCTGAATCGAACAATTCCTCAAATTGGGAGTGGAGCACAAGTACCTCCGGCGATGCACACATCTCCAATCGTGTCGGTCCCAACGACTCCCTCGCGTTTTTCTGAAAAGGAAAATTGTTTAGGGGGGCCTTCGTCGGGGTGGTGGTGGAGGAGGTCGTCGCGCAGGCGGCCTCGGCGGAGGTCGCACTTGGACACGAGGAGGCTGAGGCGGTACGGCCAGCGGAACCACGACTGCCGGCGCCGGTCGCGGGCGCGGGCGTGGGCGTGGGCGTGGGCGCGGGCGTGCTGGTGGCTTTTTGTTCGCACGAGCTTGTAATTCCTCTCCGATACCCTGCTAAGTAACTGATTAGAGACGTGTCAATGCCTAACCTGGAGATGGTACTACTTACGGCAACATCTGGGCTGTTCACGGCTTCGTTCCTCTGTACCAGAAGCCGATGATATTAGTACCGGTGAAAGGTCTCGTGGAAAACTCGCAGTATGCAAAGCTCACCTCATTGAGGGCCTTCATGTCAGTCACTGACTGCACATTGGGAACCGCAAGGCCGATTGAGACGTAGCAGGCCAAGGCCACAGTGGCCACATGCTGAAGGGAAGGGACAAGCATAACTGAGTCTTATTGTGGTAGTGCTTTCCAGTGAATGAGTACGCGTAGGGAAACGATAACAATCGCATAGACTGGTCACGGGGAAAGACGCTCTGAACTTATATCTCTCGACGTCTCCATTTCTGAACACTTCAGACCTCGTGGCTTCCTGATTGACGCCTTGAGAAACTCGTTCATGTGAACTACTAGATTCGCCTTCAACCGATCTCCAGCTCGTCATTCCCGTGCCTTGACCAGCTTAGACTTTCCAACTTGAAGTTTCAACATGAATTCTCTGCGGCCAAGAACGAAGATCGAGAGGGGGTTGTCGTTGTGGACATGGAACCACCATGAGGATCTCTCACCGAGAACGAATTACACCATCCGAGGCCCTGACGTCTTGGCGGGCAATGCGGTATCCAATTATCCACTCCCTGACCCGCCGACAGGGAACGATCTTCATACTCGACGATCATATCGTGAAGATTAGGATGCGACGAAAGTTTGTTGTTTCCTGCACGGACGAACAATTACCGCGCGGGCTCTTCAGCCGTCCCATGTTCGGAAATGATTTTGTGAGAGGCAGCATGGGAAAACAGTTGAACCCCTTCGGCAAAAAATTCACTCTTTCTGCCATCGTTTCGTTTTATTGCCATGGATGGCTATTATGGCGAACGGCTTGTCACAGGGTCTTGTCGTTGACGTTGCGCTATTGCCGGCTCATTGGAGCGATCGCCACCGATAGAGTCCGCGGCGTATCGAATGACACCTTTGACAGCCATATAATAACCTCAAGTTCTAGGGGTACATTTGGCGCAACCTTACTTAGTATCAATGTCGCCATTAACGGCTTTTGCGCATGCAGGCTAGCGAATAAGCATGTCTTTCTTTTTGCTCCGCGCTGCACGCGCCGCAACGCCCGCGGCACTCGAATTTCCACTTCTTCCGGCCCCTTCCCCGCAAACCATCCCACCAGCCATTCTGTGTCGGGTATGGAGGCATTCTTTGTCAGACGTGAATCAGACGAGGCTGGAGTTTATTCTCACTTGGCTCGCTGATCAATAAACCAAAAATCCACATGCCGACATGCAGCCGCGGGAAGTCAACTGAAACGAATCACCAGAGAGGGGAAATGAGAGGGAGTTTATGCAGCCAAGAGAGAAGCCAAGAGCATCTAGACTGATTCTCGAGAATGAGGCTGACAATAAAGTCGGATTAAGTTGACGAGAACGATAGTAGCACCACTTACTGCTGAAGCTATGGCCAGACTTCATGTCTGAGTGATCACCGGTGTCGTGCATGCTAATCCTAGGTCTTTCATCACTACCAGCTCGTCAAAAACTTCTGTTACGGGTGGAGTTTCCGATCGCGAAGGGCCGCTGCGGGATGCCGGGGTGGCCTCCCGTGGGATGAGATGGGATCTTCGACCGTTTCGAAGTCGCTGCTCATCATGGGGCTAAAGAGCTCTTGCGCCGGCCGAGACACGCGTGCTGCATGGGCAAGATCTGGCGTGGGGTTGTTTCGGAGTGCGATGTGAGGCGAACTCAGTAGGTGTGGGCTGGGAGTAAACGCAGATGTTGAAACCGTTTTGGGTTGTTACCATTCTTTGAGCTTAGCCTAAGCTCTGTTTCTACGACGACCGATTAAACGTCGGCGGAACATTCTCCCAATTGGGCATTAGGGAAACTTTGTACGGATGATGTTTCTCGAAGTCTACGACGTCTTTGCTGAGTCAAGGAATGCAAGAGCAAATGTAAAGGCTGGTCCGCTGGTGCAAATTGTACATTGTAATACTTCCATGAAGATCCCGTGACCACCTATGACGTCCGTCTTGGTGACCGGTTTGAGACTCCACCGTATCGAATCCAATGGATCCAAAGTGCTGGTAGGTACAATCTCAAAGGAACTGCACCGTGCACTCAACACCATCTCACCGTCGATGGAGTTCGGCAATGAACTGCATCCTTCATGAGACCGAGCTCGCCGAGTCTGGCGGAAATACGAGCCGAACATCTTCTGTTTGGAAACAAAACACGATGGTCAACATGTGGCCGAACAGTGGTGAGCACTTGGGTTTCCGCAAGGGCTCGCGTTTTCTTACCAGTTCCATCAATAACGCTCGGTCCTACAGCCGTCGCATGGCGCGTGCGGTGGCGGAAGTAGATATTTTGAAGACGACGGGTAAGTCTAAACGAGCAGGAATAGAGTCCAGATTCTTCCTCTAGATGCCAAGATCCAAGGTATGGGTCAAAACAAGATGGATGAGAACGAATCTGAGGCCTGGCATGAGACCCTTGATCCGAAAATATCTTGGCCGGTCAGCCGTTACGAATTGACTGGCGTTACTGGAAACTGTGGCGTGACACTGGTCAGAGCCTAGAAACATCTGGCGAGAATCACGCTCTATTACTGCTTTGGGCAAAGCAATCGGTTGTCAACCGACAAAATACCCATGTAAACCTAGTGAACCCAATGAAGAAATTGTTCAGGTCTCGAATAATCAATTTTCGTGGTATCTCATTTTCCCCCTCTTTTGTGGTTTCCGATTCCTTCCTAACTACTCTAAGTCTTCGTTCCCCCCTCCGTGTCCGATTGGATATGTGTTGACCGTATTCGACTTCTGTAGTGAGACTTCACATTATTTACAGCTTATGTATTCGGTACGCGCGAGACATACGTAGGATTTACCCAGCATATAAATGACGGGCGTTAAACAATTAAAGCAGAAGATATGTATAATGATGGGTATCTAGTTTGTGATTACTGTCTATCGTCTACTGTTATTTCTTGACAAGTTGATATTCCGGCCTGAACAGCCCTGCTGGAAATTCCTGAACAAGGAGAAGGCGCGTCCCCTGACTTGCTCACAATCATCCAATTCTGGAGACTGGGCCACATCGATGACCGTCATTCGGTCCACGCCTGCCCACCAGGTATGGAGAAAGCCTTTCAGGTGCAAGCCAGTCTGGCTCGGGTGTTATTCCGGTCCCAGGCTCACCCAGTCGCCCATATATACCTCCGATGAAATTACCACCGAATCCGTGTCGGGGATTATTGGGCATCGTGAAGCAACAGATAGCGCGACTTGCTGGTGTTTCGTGGCTTTTGAAAGCCCTTTCTATCCTTGCTTCAGCTCCGTTATGGAATGGCAAGGCTCCAACCCCGCTTATGAACTTCGGCGGCCATATGGCTCGAACGGGAACAGAGCTGAAACCACTGCCATCAGTCCAAAGAGAGCCGCGCAGACGTATAGAGGCACGGCACTGGCGGTGTTTCCCGATGACGCGACGAAGGCGGAGACAATGCCCATCAAACGGTTGAAAGCTACGGCGATGCCGTTGCCAGTCGCACGGTGAGCGGAAGGGAATACTTCGACGGTGTATGCGTAGAGGGTGCCGTAGTAGATATTGATACCAAATGCTGCATAACTCGTCAGTCTTGGACATTCTGCGTTTCTGCAAAATTTCTCAACACTCACCAATTGCACAGCTGATGCCGACATTCTGCGCTGGAGTGTTCACGGCGGTGTACCCAAAGAACAGCGCCATGGAGATGATGGCTCCAATGACCATGGTGTACTTGCGACCGACCTTCGGGATGTTGGCAAGAATACCAGCCAGGATCGGTCCAGGAACGCCAGAAATATTTGTCAAAGTGAAGTTGCGCCAAGTTTCATAAGGCGTCTCCTCAGCGTCAGGGACTCGAGTGGAAAGATAAGATCTGCAACTCATCAGCTTCCTTGTCACTCATGCATCAACTTGAAAGTACTCACGGGAGGAAAACATAGAACAGTGGGTACGCCAGACCGATCAGCGTCCATGACATCCAGACCATGGCAGTGCTCCGGCTCATCTTCTTGGTGACGAAGAGGCCCTTAACGTGGGCACCCAACTCACGAATGACGAACTTGAAGCTGTTACGCTTCTGCCCGGCAGGCTTGTTTTGCCCGCACGCGTCAAGCTTCTCAAGAGTGAGCGAACAGGGCCTGTTATACTTCTGCGCCAGCTTCTGGTAGTTGCGGACAAGATCCTCGTCACGACCAACGCTGAGAAGGTACTTCGGTGTCTCTTGCAGGCGCATGATGGTGACACGCAGAATCGAGGCCACGAAGACAAAGGCGCCCGAGGTGAAGGAAACGTATCTCCAGCCGGCGTTAGTTGACCAGTTACACGATTGACCTTCAACGCAGTTCCACCGCTGCTGAGCTGATGATAAGTCAGTAACACAAAAGTCTTCAGCGTATTCCATAAGCATGAGTTCGGAACTCACTCAAGAATCCCCAGCTAATGAAGCCAACGATGGCCTGGCCTAGTCCCCACCAAAGAGCGAGAGCCGTCACGGTCCACTGCTTGTTGCTGGGAAGGAACTCGAGAAACACCGTCGGGTCAAGGACCAGATTCCCACCTGCGCCGAATGCCGAAATAGCAACGAATGCGGCCCAAAAGACCAGGTTAGGGCTTGCGCCGGAGATGATTGTCGCCAGAGACGTTATGAGAAGCGTTACTGATTGATATGAGTTTCCCACCTTACTTAGACTTGAGTGGAGTAGATCATACCATTGAAGGCAATCCTCCTGCCGATGATGTCGGCCCCGAAACCCCAGAAAATCGCTCCAATCAAAAGACCGACATACAACGACACAGTACCGGCGTTGACGTAGTCCGACGGCGACGCCAGCTCGAGGTACACCGCCGCGTTGGTAACGGACTGAACAAGCGCGATAAGCGAGTCGACAGCGTAGCCGAAGCCGTTTAGCATGAAGAGCTTCCAGTGAAAGGGAGTCCAACCGATCTCGTCGTTAGCCTGTAGAGGTCAGTTCCGTTCTTTGGGCCATTGAGATCTCATTTTCACATGAGTCTTCGAGAGTGGTCGCGTCCACATGAGTCGGGGAGACCCGTGAGAGCGTAGAGTTGTGTATCATACGTCATTGACGAGGTGCATCTTTTTGGCGAGCACGGGATCCTCGCCCTCGTTTTCCAAGATGTCCATGCCGGAGCTGAGGGAGATGTCCTCCGCGCCGT